TATTAGGTAAGGTTTCTTGGTAATTTTGACTTTGAAGTTAACAATGATTATTGATTTATATCAACGAACTTGTTTAAGTAAATAATTACTTAATTTTGATAACTTGAAAGCCTATTCGACTTTGAAGGCATAAATATAGGTCGACATTAAATAATTTATAACTTCAGAAATTACTTATAAGTTAACAGATTGTGAGGGCATTTAATAGGTCGAAATTTGATAATATTTTACCTGTGAAAAATACTTCAAATACAATTGAACATTGAAGGCATTAACAGATCGAAATTAGATAATTTTTTACCTACAAAAAAAACCTCAAATATAATTTTACTTTTAGGACATATTTTAGGTCAAAACTTTGTCATTTTTTACTTAATTAGAGCAATTTTACTTTGGCTTGGTCAAGATGCCCTGAATTGCTGCTTGGGTTACCTCTGTTACACGCGTGTTCGTATTGTCTGAAAATAAGTATTGAAATAGCAAAAATAAAGCAAGGTTTATTAATACAAAATTTTCCTTAATTCATTTTTTAAGTTTGCTGGTAGAATATAACCGTGGTGAAAAGATCTATTTTTTACATCATGGATATAACCCTATAATGACATGTCGATTTATTCTAATACTTTTACGCTCTGATATTTTCTCTCTCCTCTTTCCTCTCCTTTTTCTGTTGTTTATTATCTTTTCTTCTTTGCATCTCGCAAATTGAAACTGGATAATAATTTTGGCCGAGGCTGTATAAAAATATTTTTATTTTATGATTAAAGTAATGTTTTTCTCATTATTAAAAAATTGTAGTCAGCCTATTAGTTACTATTCAGTCAGTTTATTGTTACAATTTCATTATTCCAATAAAAATTGTTAAATTTCTTCAAAATTTCTTTTTTTTTATACATTATTCACAAAAATTTAATATTGTTTATTTTTTAAATATTTTTGTACTGTATGTAATTTTACAATTGACGATAATATTTAATCTTTATATAAATAAAAAAAATTCAATTTTTAATAATTACTTCTTTTCTATTTTTTATTTCCAGATATACACATTTTTTCAATTTGTTGTAAGTCTCGCTTTGACGTACTTACAACGTCACACTTAGAAATAAGCAGGTCACTGTTGCAATCTATTATTGCAACAATGACCCATAATTATTGAGGACGCCGACGCAGGACTTTCGGCGCCCTCAATGCACGCGTCCTCCAAAAACTGCCGTCGTTGCAATAATTGCAAC